ACTTCTCCTCCTCATCTTTAATTTCGGAAATTCTGTCTATAGATTTAAGGATTTCAGCCACAAAATTCAATGTTTCAGCTCCAGAAACCAGCTGCCTGAAATGGAAATAGATATTGGGGACTGTTAACTACAACTGATCAATAGCAATGAATTAGCCACACATATGGTACACATCTATAATCTCAGCAACTCAGGAGAGTGAGGCAGAATTACAAATTCAAGGTTAACCTGGGCAATTTAGCAAGACTCAAAAAAGGGCTAGGGATGTGGCTCAGTAGTTAGGCACCTCTGGGTTCAATTCCTGGTACCAAAAAAAAGGGCTTGGGGTATAGCTGTAGTAGAGTGCTCCTGGGTTAACCCCCCCAGAACTGAACACATGCAAAAAAGCAATAGTGGAACTAAAGCAAAGAGGTTCCAGAGTAAAACCCCCTCAGATCCACTGAGGAGATGCTTTGCTCAAAAGGAGAATGGACTTCATTGCCTGTAAGCACTTCTAGTGCGGTGCCACTACTGTCTTGCAGAGATCAGCCCAATGAGAAACAAGTTCAGCTGGTTCCCAACTTATAATAGTTTGACTTTATGAAGGTGTGGAAGCTATGCGTATTCCACAGGCACTGAACTTGGAGTTTGATCTTTTCCCAGATCAGCCACATGTGGTATGTTACCCTTGGGAAGTTGGATAGCAACAGCAGGCATCAGGCACACACAATCCTGGGAGTTACCCAGAACTTCACACTGCTATGCTGCTAAGCTCTGGTGTTTGGTAGATTAAGGGTATTAAATGCATTTTCAATGTACAATACTGTCAATGTACAAAATGGTGGGATTACGGAGATGTGGTTCCATGGTAAGCCAAGGAGCATCTGTGATCATTATTAGTAATGACAGCAACTGACATTGCCCAGCAGGGTCGCTGCACCAAGAACAATTTAGTGCCTCCTGCAATCCTGCAAATGCATTTTTTTCTCTCTTTTTGGTACCAGGGATTGAACTTGGGGGGCACTTGACCACTGTGCCACATCTCACCCCTATTTTGTATTTTAGATAGGGTCTTACTGAGTTGCTTAGCACCCGGCTTTTGCTGAGGCTGGCTTTGAAACTCACAATCCTCCTGCCTCCGCCTCCCAAGCTGCTGGGATTACAGGTGTGCATCACTGCGCCTGGCTATATTCAGTTTTTATAATAAGAGGGAATCTATCATATCCTTTATCCATAACCTCAGTATTAAGGAGCTGGACTTGGGTTTGCATGACAATGTTTGTGCCTCCCAAGTGGAGACCGCTTCTCCAAGGCAGGTTAAAAAGACTGCTCAGCTACCCATATGATGACCTGGAGATTTAATGTGTCCCCCTAACACACCTCCCTCCCTCGAGTAACCTGGTCCAGCCCCAGACCAAGAGCCTGGGCCACTACCCAAACAGGTAGTGACCATTCTAGTCTCACCCCTTACCGGTTTCAGGGCCTCCAGCCCACAGCACTTACTTTATGGAGGCATGTGCACTGTTCATGACAACACGGAGATTCTGTAAGGCCACGTCAGTGTTTTGCTTTACCACCGTCAGGCTGGCACCCTGGCCTGACCTCAGGGCTTCATTCTCGCGTTTGAAGTTGGAGACCTGTGCCTGGGAAAAAAGGGTGGGAAGTCTGCTAAGGACTTTCATGGCTGAGTGGAGACTACTTAAAGGCAGCCCAACAGAAAACACACGTCACCCTTGGTGGAGAGGTGTGGACTTGTCCGTGGGCCCTGGCCCACTCATTCCAACAGGTGCTTTGCCTTGCTGAGGGTATTTCCTAAGGGAGACAAACCCCAACATTTCTCCCTTAACTACAGGATATGCTCAGTATCTAGCCCTAAGAAATGGGGACTTCTTACATGTACACGCCCCACCCTAGATTCCAAATTATTAAAAACATGAAAAATGGGACGAGGAGGAGCATGCCCTCCATTTATTTGAGGCCCTAGTGGAAAACCTGTGCCACCTGATTTTGAAATTGCCTGCTGGGGGTAATATTGTGAACCCAGAAAAGGGTCTCTCATACTTTTTTCAGTACCAGGGATAGAATTAGGGACCTTGCACGTGTTAGGCAAATGCTCCACCATTGGGTCACCTGCCCAGCCCTTAAAAAAAAAATTTTGTTTTTAAACTTTTTTTTATTTATTTATCTTTTATGTGGTGCAAAGGATCGAACCCAGTGCCTCACATGTGCTAGGCAAGCGCTCTACCACCCCAGCCTCTTTTAAAAAATTTTAAACTTTAAACTTGCCAAGTTGATGAGGCTGGCCTTGAACTTGCGATCCTCCTGCCTCAGGGTCCAAAGTAGCTGGGACTACAGGCATTTGCCACTATGCCCTGCAATATCTTTCTCACACTCACATGTGACTCCACGAATGAAAGGGGAAAACACTTAAGATCTTTTCCTTAATTACCTGGAGCAAGTTTATTTCCTGTTTCAGCTTTATGACGTGATTTTCTGCCTTTACAGCCCGTTTCTGTTGCCCAAAAAATAAACACAAAAAGCATCACTGATAACATAGTCAGCCCAAGAAACTTGTCTGACAAAGGGAGGAGGGAGCTGCTGTCACCCTTCCTGGCCCTTCTCCCCCCAGTGACAGTGGAGGCCGGCCCCATAAAACCTGTGCTCTGCTTCTGCTCCCCAGAAGAGCATGGCACAATGCCAAGGGACACTGGTCCACCTGAGTGAGAGCTGCACACTCAATACTGTGAGGGCATCTGCCTGACCTCAGGTCCAGCTGGGCCTTCTCTGGAGCTTCCTCCCATCCCACAGGCAGAAGCCTTCCGCACCGTCATCAGCTCCAGGTTCTGCTCCACCTGCTGGACCACTGACTCCAGGTCATGGTAGTCACTCTCTTCCTTGATCATCTTTGCTTCTAGCTTCCGCTCAAGCGTCCTTACCCTTGTCAGAGGAAAAAACCGAGCTGTTAAGTTCAAGTGGTCACTTTTGAGAACACTTTGAAAAGCACTTTAATGTGATTAGCTGGATAAAAGCCACTTGGAGCTTGTGTTTAGAACATGTCCTCAGACAGAGGTGAGGCAGCAGTGACCTAGTGCATCTGCACAGGTTTGGGGAGCTGCTCCAAGCTCTGCCCATCCAGTGAGAAGCTGGGCTGGTTTGGGTCTCACCCTGACAAAGCTTTCACAGAGTACAAGAAATGTGCTTGATGTTAGAGTTTTACAATAAAACCCAGACACAGTTCAACTCTGGGCATTTCATTATCACTTAAAAATGGTGATTTTCCTTCGTGGTAGATATTTAAGTTGACTCCTAACTAAAAGCTTACATACATTTCTGTTTGAGTTTCAGAGAAGCTCTGAACCTCATTCAGCTTTCTTCTTAGCTTAGAATTTTCATCTTTCAGCTGTAGAAAAAGAAAATCCTTATTAGAAACTTAAGTGTGTCTCACTCAAAAGGGGCATGTGCTTCTGCAATGGGCTCTGGAAGAATATATATATATATTTTTAAAATAATACTGGGATCAAATCGAGGGCCCTGCCCATACCAGATGCTGAGCCACACTCTCAGCCCTGGAATTTCTTGATAAATAGAAATGCTCCAGGGAACTGGAGTCATTCTGCAGCATGCTTACATAGATGACCTATTATCACAGACTCCAGTTCTACCCCAGCTTTTAATGTTTTTAGGTGATCATAATTTTTAAACATCCCTTCACTAAGAGCACTCAGCAAGATGTCCCTGAGCCCTTTATTCCAGTCTGTTCCTAGATGGGCCGCACCACTTAAGTCATCACAACACCTCTTAGTAACCAGCAGCACATTTGAGGAGGGCTCTCCTCAGGGGGGTTCTATAGCAGGCTGTCACACGACCAACTGTCTTGTCCCTGAAGCCAGAGCCAGGCCACCCAGAAGCAGAAGGGCCCCAGTCCTCCTCCAGGAGAATACTGCTCAGACCCTTGCACTGTGCTTGTGTGCCAGCCCCTCACTTACTGCTTCATAACTTATCTGCAGTGTCCGCAGGTGTCTGTCTCCCAGAGACTCCACGTGAGTTGTAAACTCTGCACTAGGACTCCCTGCTGGAGATGCCAGAGAGATGCGTGAATCTGTGTCACTCAGTGTCCAGGGGGGCAGAGACTCAGGCCCCGCCAGCTCCGACGGGGTGGAAAAAAAGGAAAGGTACGTGCCACAGGGTGATGTGCTGGCTGTGGCCCTGGAGGAGTGAGTCTTTTCCACAGCAGATGGTAAATAGGCCCCATTCCACCCACTGTCTTCATCTTCCTCCTCCTCACCCACGATGTCG